GAAGGTAGAATGTTGATGCATCCTTGCAAGACTCGGTGTAATAGCCACTACCAGAGTCGAAAGGTGGCGTGTGAGGCCCATGAGGTATGTACAAATTTAATTTCATATAATCATTTTTTTATAAACCATAAGCGCAGACCACATCGTGCCTTTTAGGGGAGCAACTCAATGCTCGCAGCCGACCGGAAGGCCTGTTTTTTCAAGGGAGTTACCATTTCTCTTGCAGAATGGCACGCAGTTGAATTGGTTAATAAGGTTTTGAAGGTATTGATCTTAACTAGTCCGACTTACACATGAAGCTAAAGTTTTGTTTTGCTTTCTAGACGTTCGTAGATGCAACTGCTCGGGTTGAGGGGAATGGACCTACCAGTGCTACAGTCCTAGTTGAATACAAGCGGGTTATTTCCGAGCTCGAAGCCATTCAACACGAATCACAGGATTATGCGAGCATTGACAAATCGATCAGTGAGATGATCAAGTGGCTCAGCAAGTATCAACAGGAAGCTGTCGAGTGTGAGAGTATAGTCTTAGCCACGATTCTTAACCCTCGATTGAGAGGGAAGTTCTTTTCCCTCCATTATCCCGAACATGAAGTTTCGGCAAGCTTGTCGATTGAGAATGCCTTCAACAATCAAACAGAAGAATCTCAAGAGAATGATCCATCCCCGAATACTGACAACGAAACTGGTACTGGTCTGAGTCCTACCGAGCAAGAGCCTGACACATTCGACATCTTTGGACCTTCAACTTTGGGTACTACCAAAGCATCCTCATCCAAGCTCGAGGACTACTTGCAAGGAAAGTTTCCTATGAAAAAGGACCAAACCATCCTGGGTTGGTGGAAGGTTTGTTTTTTCATTCCATTTCTCACTGATTCATATCACACTATACTAATGTTGGCTCTTTACAGGAACATCAGCATCACTTTCCCATCATGTCACAACTCGCTCGTGATTACCTGGCTGTATCGGCAACTTCTTGCGCTTGTGAGCGAACGTTTTCGGCGGCGGCGGATGTTTGCACACCGTCTCGTGGTGCAATGCTACCCAAGACGATGGAGCGGTTAGTGGGGTCTCAAGCATGGCTGAAAGAAGGAATGATACCAGAGGGTGACTTCGCAGAAGCAGCCAAAGCTCTCCAAGATTATATTTTTAGTGTATCAAAAAAGAAAAAATAGTATATTGGTGTTTATTTCTTTTTATTCTCTACATACAATACAAGGTAATAGTATAAACAAATTATATGATTTCATTTTATTGTTTTCTCTTTTTGTTACAAATGTTAAGTGCAATGATGCGTATGGTTTCCGCAATATTGCGAGTATTGTCGGCAATATCGCGTATATTGCGCAGAGCGCAACATTTCGGCAATATTGCAAAAATATTGCCCTATACCCGCTCCGCATCCGTGAGTAAAAAATTCAGACCCCCATTGCGGTCTGGTTGTGTAGCGCCTTATTGTGCTGACTGCGCAGCGCAATCAAATTGGGCCATATTTCGTTGCGCTGCGTTGCGCTTGTGGTATTGCCAGCCAGTCCTGGACTATACCCAGCTTCACAATTACCTACTGTTGAGTCCGGTCCATCAAAATCACACAAACCCAGACAAATCAAAAGGCCAATTGAAACAACCAATCCTGAATCTTCTACTGGTACCTCTTCCAAGCCGTGCGATTCACCTGTCAATTGAGTAGTACAAACAGTGAATAAATCTTTGAAACAATTTTTGGTTTCCATTCCCTAATTCAATTGCAATCGAAGCTATTGTAACCCTAAACATCAACCTTTTGGATCAGTTTTATGTTTTATTCACTTAACTCATTGCCCGGTTTGGTTGTTTTGGATGGCTTGAATGTCCCAATCAGCTACTTCATTGACTTGAAGAACCTGAAAGTTTTGTACAAAAAGATACCCAAAAGCTACAGCCGTTCCTTGATTGGTTACTTTTCTTACAACTTTTTTTCAACATTTTCAACAACTTTTGATTTTTCTTCTTTTGTAAGTGAGTAATAGTATCTCTTGAGCACAGCCAACAGTACTCAGATAGTCTCTGAGATTGTTGTACAAACTACTTTTTTGAGGTTTGACTTCTTTCAATCTTTGAGATCTGTTACACTTGAGTTAGACCTGATGGGCAGCCTTTCACAGCCTGTATAATCTATATCACCAATGTGACAGCCGATAGCTTGATCCACCACTTGATCCAGTCAGACAAGCTCTATCTCAAGTTATCTTGATATCATTCAACCTTGAATTCTCTTGACTTCATTCAATCTTGACTTATCTCAATTCCATTTTATCTCAACTTTTGATATCGTTGGTGGCTGTGAAAAAGTAAGTTTCATGGACTTATTACTGAATTGCTACCATGCATTCTTGTCTCCTCGATTGATCGATTTTTGCACCAGGTATCATCACTGTTAGCCGGATCTATCAGAATGATACCTGTGGATTGGTGCATCAAGGCATCTGGATGTGCCTCTGAACCATGAAGCAAAAGATCATCTCAATTGTGCTGATGCTAACTATTGATGTATACCTTTGCATGTCTCAGATCAATCCAGCTCTCCAAATACTCTTCTAGCCTATCTCACCCACAAAACGTGAGTCATATCCTTCCCCTGATGTAGAGGTATTGAAAACCTATACTTACATTAATTCAACTTCTTTCATCTTGGGTCTGAGTTAGACAAAAAGACTTGATTTTTGACTTTGGTTGTAGAGAGGATACAAATAAGTAATTGGAGGTAAGCTGAGATTGAGATCAATCATGATTTGTTGATATTGAAACCAGTTTATAACAAAAATGACTTACAAATGTATTGCAACTGATTTTAGAAATGGAATTGTCAGAAAGCAAAAGTGGAAATGGATCACAACAGAAATAAATGGCTACTTTTGATGTGCAGAAAGTTCCATTGTCTCTGCATCACTTCCTGCTACCAACCAATAGCAAAAGGTCTATCAGTGGCTCAACTCCATTTGGACATCACATAAGCAATAAAGGAATGAAAGGTGAGTTTCTTGATGGTAGGGCGCAATAAGGAATGTAACTGATTTGTTTGTCATATCAATGGCTTGGATTATAGACTGACACAGCAAGACAGATCAACCAGCAAACCCCAGCTCATTGTCATTGTCCAAGCTTTCAACAGTTTATGGGGGTCAACTCAAACTTGGACAGCAATCAAATCATTGTAGAGATGTCAAAGGTCCAGTTGCTCAATCCTTTCACACTGGATTTGAAACAGCTTATGATCTAGCTCAGCGGCCTTCAGGTGGAGTTTTGTCAACTCCGCAATCATCAATCAAAACATCAAATTTGGGGTTTGATACTTCTTTGATCACACAATATCCGCATTCACCATGCCATAAGACTGACTCAGATGACCCCTATCATGTGTACAACCAAGAATATGATGAACTGGAATTGGATGCATCAACTGATGATGCCAATAGGCCTTTTCCACCTCATAGTGACAATATTGAAGAGCCAGATAATTGGACCAAATTCTCCCTAACATCTCCAAACCCTTCTCTTACGTTGGACCCTTTTGGCAAGTCAGAGATGGCTATAGATAACTCTAAGCTATTGAATGATTCTCAAGTCGATCAACTAGATGGCCATCTATCAATTGATGTAAAAATTCCACAAAAGCAGACTCGGGGTTTGGCTTTTGAGGGTTCTTGTCAGCCCTGGGTACATACACATGTACCCAAAGACTAACTTGTAAATATAAACATTACTCATAAAACCCAAGTACATGTACATATATCTTAGAAACATATGTAACATGTAATAAAATATGTACAAAACACTAATTACATATATACGTAATCAAGAACTAATATGTAATATATAAGATTACATACAAAAAACAATAGTGACATCTCATAACTCAGTATCAAGAGTTAAAAATGCTTATATAGCATTAAACACTTAATGATTACTGAAAATAACATTAAGTGTAAGTAATTATAAAAAATAATAAAAATAATAATTATAAACCTAATATTGTAACACTTGTGTATATCACAATATTAGGTTTAGAGAGCTGAATATATAAACCAAAACTCAGTTCATCCTCAGAGAAGAAACCAAGTTTACACATACCACTTTCTAAAGAACCTTCAAGAGTTCAATTAGAATAAATATCAAGAGTATTACAAATAGTAATACTAGTGATTCATTCTATTCATCTTGATCTTTCCTGACTAGATCCCAGTAAGTACACTTCACTTCTGGATCCTCTACTTTCCCCAAGTAGTAACTATATTAGGTTGGTGACCTCCAAGTTAATAACCAATAGGTTGGTGAGCTCTAAGTTAATAACCATCAGGTTGGTGACCTCTAAGAGGTAACCAAGATAGTGATCTTTATAATCACTCTTTATCCTGTTACTGAAGGGATACTGGAGAACTTTGGGATCCAGTTCTCATTATAATATTGAATTATAAATTAAAACCTCTTCTAAAGAGTCAACTAACTGTAGTCTGCCAGGATTTGTCCCAGCAGACTCTTAGTTGTTTAATTATCATCCATCCCTCTCATCCTCTTCTCTTCTACCTCTCATCCTTCATCCTCTTTGTAATTAGATATATCTTGAAATATAATAATAATTTATTATAATTCACCATTTACCTAGTCCCATTACCACATTTAGTGAGAGTAGCCTCCTTCAGAAGAGCCACTACCCTCACAGTTCTCAAAGTAGTATTCCAACTTGCATCCCCACTTGCATTCCAACTCACAAACCTGCTTGTCCTCCATCTCAACGTCTGGTCCTTGCTCCATTTTGCCCACCAGCTCATGCTTCAGGCTGTTCTCCCACTCTGCGTCTGAATTGTTCTCTGACTTGTCCTGCAACTCTTGCTTCTTTTAATCATTCTCCAACTAGTCCTCTGATTTAATCTGGGAGTTGTCCTCTTATTCATTCTACAGCTGGTGCGCTGACTTGTCCTTTGGTTCGGTCTCCAACTGGTTTGATTCATTCTATGAATCATGACCTACCTCCTGTTTCAACTCCCTCTACAATCCAATCACCAACTCCAACTCCAACTCCAATCTATCCTCCGACTTGTCTCACCTTTTCTACCTTCTCCAATTAATTCACCTTCTCTGACTCCTTCTCCATCTCCAACTTGTCATGCAATAGAAGATCCAATTGAAGAGTTCTTTGCAAATTTATTTGAAGATTCAATTTGTGGCTCATCTCAAGAATCAAATCTAGGTTTATCTGAAGACTCAATCACCATCACACAGTCAACAAAGAATGCTAGAGGGAAGGCTAGAGGGAATTCTAGAGGGAAGGCAAAGGGGAAGGCTAAAGGGAAGGCTAAAGGGAATCAGTTGCAAGGAAAAGAAGGTCAGCAGCAATCATACTTAAATGACGCTTGTAAACCAAATGTATTTCAGATTTACTGACATGTTATAGTACTCTGTGTGTAAAGGTGATAACAAGAATTCTTCTAAAGACAATAAGGAGAATACTGTAGTCATTTTTGCCTCATATGAAGTCTACTTGAGGCAGTCAAAGGAAGCAAAAGCTGCTACAAAGCAAAAGAAAAGAGATCAAATTCAAGCTTTGGTCAACAATTACGAGTGGGTTCCTGCCCTAGGGCCACAAGGTGGTCGATGTGCTGAAAACTCCTTCACCATTGAAATTGTGTCTACATCCTTGGAAAGGGTTGAGCGCCAAGCCACCCAAAATCATTGAAGATTGAATAAAGCCAATGGCTGTTCATATTTCTGATCATAAGCCCCGCTGGATTCTTCACTGGATAGGTATTGATTACAAACCAAAGAAGGGTCTCAGTGAATATGATGTTGATACTGAGAGCGTCTGGGAGGAGTTTGTTGAGGTGGCATTAAACTTGAAAAGGGACCACTCATTGGGTCTTATGGTCCGGATGGAGAATCCAGAATTGATTGAGAAAGATACCAAACAGTTTCAGAATCAGATTGACCACCTGAAATCTTTAGCTGGCCAGCTAGAAGATGACTCTTCTCAAAAAACTATGAAGCAACTTCCTTCGCTTGATGATCCTAACCCCCACTCTGGCACAATAGAATGCTTGATGGCGCAGTATAGAAGTGGAAAAAAGGGGGGTCTGACCCAATGAGATATATTGATCCATTAGATTCTACAAAATGGGTTTAATTGAACGTCACACGACTTCGAAAGTAGGCAGATGACATGGTGAGTAGTTTTTCAATATTTTTTAACTTCTCACAGAGCTCATGTGTATTATTAACATTGTTCACTGCGCTGAATAGATAGAGGCTTGTCGCAATGGTCACAAAGATGTAACTTTATTAAAACCTCCTAATAATCCTATGTTCAAAACAAACGTAGGTGGACGCAAACCAGCTGGATTTAAAGCCATTCATGAAGATCACCCCAGCTATGCACCACCTCAAGCATCATCATCAACAGTACCAATTACAAACCAATTCAACACCGACAGCACCATTCCTCAAGCTCTCCCCTCAACATCAACAGTACCAAATCAACTAGATCACCAGATGTTTCTAAAACATTTTTGTGGGACATTTAATGACTTCCTGAAATTCTCTCAAATTTCTACCACTGACACCAAAAGCCACGACCTTCTCTCTGAATTAGGTCTGGACCATTGTTCCACCTTCATTGTCTCAAGTAACATGAGTGAAGACAAACCCCAAGGGTTGGGGTTTTCTCTCGGTGCAGCTATCAAGCTCATAAGTGGTTCCACTTTTTGCCAACCCTATATCACTGCAAAAATAATGTATTTTTCCAAGGTGAAAAATGATTGACATTAATGCACAAAATGATTAATAATGCAGAATTAATGCAGAAAAATGCATTTTTAATCATTTTGTGAAATAAATGTAATCATTTCTCACCTTGGAAAAATCATAACATTTAATCCCAAAGGCACTTCGCTTACAAAACTCGAAAAAATCCACCATTAGCGTGATTTTTGAGTTTTTGTAAGGTCTCTCTCTCAGAGACCTTCACTGAGTCTGAGGGTCACAAGGCTGAGGCCAGACAGAAGTAGCACCTGAGTATAATTCCTGATAAGCCTATAGAAAAGAACAATCAATATAAAGAAATCTAAGTAGAGAGACCAGACAGAAGTAGCACCTGAGTATAATTCCTGATAAGCCTATAGAAAAGAACAATCAATATAAAGAAATCTAAGTAGAGAGATAAGGAGGAAAGGAGTTCCTTGAGAAAAGAAACTGAAAGGGAGAGAGGATGGGATCTCTATAAATGTACTTCTAACACCAACTCTGTAAACCCATACTACACATGTAATGCTAACCCATACCCCATACTCTTCCCTTACACCCCCCCCAACTAAAAACAACGCAACACAAAAGACTTCCCCCAACTAATATTAACCAATTAAACCATTTATAAGAAATAAAAAGGAAAACTCGAAACCAAAATTGAAATACATGAGATACTTGAATTAAAAAATTAAATAAACAAAAATGAAATGAAAAGAAAAAAAAGGAACTAAAGTGGAATATTCGAACTGATTGAATTAATTAAAGAAAAAGAGACAAAGGAAAAAAAGAAAGAAGCAACCACTATCGAGAGCCTGAGAGGATCCATCGTATTCCCACGTGCTTGATCGAAAAATTCCGGAATCCACGCCGCGACACGTTCTGGAAGAGCAATGCGAAACATATGTGCTCACAGGCGTGGCCAAGGTGTTGTTGCGAAACGACAAGGAGGTAGAACCCCGCGGCGGTGCATACGTAAGGAGAGAACTTACTTGCACAAGGTAGTCTCTCGCCCCTCTCAACAGACGTCCGCTGTCTCATCCGTCCGATACCGTTTGAGCTTCGAAATATGAAAGACATCGTGTGTGTTATCGTTGGCCGAAAGCTGGAGGCGAACATCTCTACCCCCATTGATTACCTCTAAAACCCGGTAAGGCCCGTCGTATCTTGCACGCAGCTTCGCCACCTTGCCACCCACTTGAGAAGCTCAATGAGCACTATCAACCAAGACTTGATCACCTTCCTTAAGCTCTAAACCCCCTCCCCTCCTCTTGTTATAATGCACAGCCTGTTCCACACGCAACACCCAGAGTTTATCACGGCAACGTGCCCAATCAGCTTGTCTAGACTCTACCCATCTCTCCACATCTTGCCCAACAGCCTCCACCGAAGACGGGACTGGGAATAACCTTGGTTGATGACCCAGCACGAAATACATAGGATAAACTCCCGTCGCCGAGTTAATCGCCGAATTGATAGCGAACTCGACAGAGGGAAGTGCTTCGAGCCATCGTCCTTGACGTCCTTGAGTGGAGAACCGTAGAATTTGGCCAAGTGTCTTATTCGTACGTTCTGCACGCCCATCTGCCTGTGGATGATAAGCAGTAGTCAAGTTAATTGTGATACCCAGTAACAAGTGAAGTTCTTTCCAAAAGCGAGAACCCAGATCTTGTCTCTATCACCAATCATTTCATCTGGTGCCCCAAATATCGACAGCCACAAATTGTACAGCCGCCTCGCCGTTTTCTCGGCTGAATCCTTTTGATTCGTTGGAATCAGCCTGACAAACCCCGTGAGCCGACACGTGCAGGATAAGAGCATGTCATAGTTAGAGACTTTCGGAAACGGACCCACAAAGTCCAATGCGATGCTGCTCATTGGTCGGCGAGGGAGATCCGTGCTCTGAGCTTGTCCAGGCAGGAGGGTAGTACGTGCCTTGTTCCTTTGGCATTCATCGCAACAAGCCACCCATTTCTACACATCATCACTCATACCGGGCCAAAAGAATTCCTGCTTCAACCGATTGTAAGTCTTGAGGTTTCCAAGGTGGCCCACCGTTTGATGCGCCGATCGAATCAGCCCACTCCTCAACTCTCCGTTTGCCGGGATCACCACTCTATCATCCATCAACATCAAACCCTCCTCCCATCTACAGTTTGCTCGTAGTGGCAACACCTTTGCCAACTTTATGCAAAACGGATCAACACCATAGCCTTCTTTAATCGATGTAAGCATGTTAGTACTCAATGCAGGACGAGATTCCGTCAACGCAGCCGTGTCTACACGCGAGAGGGCGTCTGCAACTGAGTTGTCCGCTCCTTGAAGGTACTTGAAGTCTAAGTCGAATTGAGAGAGGGTTTCCAGCCAACGCCCTTGTCTCCGACTAAGATTTCTCTGCTTCAACAAATATGTCAATGAGTGATGATCAGTCATAACGTTGACTTTCAATCCAAGGAGTAGGAGGCGCCATTTGTTCAGCGCATGAACAACCGCCAAAAGCTCTTGCTCGTGTACTGGATAATTACGCTCAGCTGGGGTCATGGTCCTCCCATCGTAAGCAACAGGTGACGCAGTTTCCCAATTTTCACCTTGAAAAAGCGCCGCTCCAAGCCCATGCCCACTAGCGTCAGTGAAAAGCCAGATTGGTTCCTCTGAGTCGTAGTCGAGGTTTCGAAGAACTGGTAAGGTAGTGATCATCCGCTTGATGTTGTTGAAGGCTTCATCTTCTTTGTCTGTCCACTTCCATTCCTCAGGTTTCTTCTTAGAACTTGTTAAAGGCGTTAAAGTACTGACATATCTTGCTAGACCTTCTATAAATTTTTTCATCCATTGGACAGTACCCAAAAATTCCTTCAGTTGTTTTGATTTCTTGGGCGCACGCCATCCCGCTACTTTTTCGACCTTCTCTTCATCCGCACTGATGCCATCGTCACCAATAACATGACCTAAGAACTTGATCTGTCGTCGAAACAACTGAGTCTTTTTGATCCCACAATAGAGGTTAGCTTCACGGAGGCGTTGCAATACCTGACGTAAGTGTTGTTCATGCTCTTCCACGGTCTGTGAAAAAACCACGATATCATCAATATACACAACGCATACTTTGTTCAACAAATCACCAAGTGCCTCTTCGCAACGGCGTTGTTGGGTTGCCGGCGCGTTTGTCAGGCCCATGGGCATGACGACCCATTCATACAGTCCCCACGGCGTCTTGATCGCTGTCAGTGGGATATCTTCTTCCTCCATTCTGGTTTGGAAAAATGCGTTAATTTGATCAAGCGAAGAATAAATCTTGCCTGACGCTACGAGCCTAACTGCCTCATCCGGATTAGGCAATGGTCCTCGATCCTTCACCGTGTATTTGTTGAGGGTTCTGTAGTCGCAGATGAGCCGTGGTAATGCGGTCGGATCCTTCTTTGGTATGATCATCGAAGGAGATGCGTATTGGCTGTGAGATTTTCGAATCCTCCCCGCCGCTACATGTTGATTAAGCAATTTCTTCCAAGCGTCCAAGTGTTTTCGTGGATATCCGTACTGTTTATCATTGATCTGAATGTTTGGGTCAGTTAAAATTATGCGGTGTCGAACCTTGGAAGCTTCGGATTGCAGCTTGGCCGGGAAAATCTCATCATCTTCAGCATCAATATCATATACTGCCGGCAACTCCTCAGGGAATAAATCTTCGAACTCTCTTAGCATAGCAACCTCACGCACACTGAACTCATTCACTTCATTCACCTTCTCCATATTTTGTAAAACTGTGCTGACTAAGGCTTTTCTTCTCCTCTTCAATTCCTCACTCTCTTGTCTCTCATCAATCACACTCTGTTCATAAAAGCTATAACCATTCTTTTCACTACGAAGTAAGCGTTGGGAAAGAGATACATCAAGACAGTGTTTTGAAAGAAAAGGCGCCCCCAAGATTAAATCGTAATCCCCTCCTAATGGTGCCACCTTGAAGGCTGTCGCTCCGAAGGTAAACGAAGGGTGAGGTGCCTTGATGTTAGCGAAAGTATATTCTTTTAAGACAAACGGTGTGGGCTCCGAGAGAATAGCAGGACGCACCGTGACCGGGACAGGTAAAGGGCGTCGAATCAATCGTAGTTTATCAGTTGCTTGTTCCGACAGGAGGTTCGTCCCTGCACCCGTGTCAACTACAATACACTGAAGCAGATACTGCACGTTCACGGAGCCAATTCATGATCAGAGTTCTTCCACCACTATGATTTTTAGAGGAAGATCCATA